TGGGGGCTTACGGGAAATGATCTGGGTCTACGTCGGCTGGGGCATTCGGCGTTGGTTGGGTGGATCTGCGTCTTTTACGAGGCCTGCCGGCTGGCAAGGTTCCGCGGGCGTCGTCGGCGGCGGCGGGGTCCCTTGCACTGGCTTGCATCGTTGATGAACTTGGACTTCGGTTGGGTGACGTTTCCTTTGATTTTATGGGTGACCTTGGCTGTGGCTGGGTCAATCGGAGTCTCTTGCGCGGAACGCCGGCTGGCAAGTCGACGTGGGCGGTGTTGGCGTCTGCTCGGAGACTTACACTGGCTGGCACAGCTGACGATCTTTGGGGGAAAATACCTTCTGACTGACGGGGCTCGGTGCTGCGACAGGTCTGGCACTGCCAGGCTGGCATCAACTCCACGTGATACTCCGCCTTGCGTGGGCGAGCACAACCGCATCCAGTGCACGGTGGGTAGTTGCCGTTGGCACGGCAAGGCCCACATTCCCACTGGGGCATCACGTTGACATGATACCCGGTTTTTTGGGGGCGGGCACACCCACACTGGGTGCAAGGTGGGTACATGCATGGGACACACCAACTGTTTGGCGTTGCATTGTCGGGCAGGGTTGCCTGACACTGGCTGCAAACTTTGGTGCGGCAGGTGTCGCAGGTCCAGGTCGGCATCACCGTGACATGATACCCACTTTTCTGCGGGCGAGCACACCCACACTTGGTGCAGGGTGGGTACGCGCATTTGGTGCACCAACCGTCTGCTTCAGCTTTGTCAGGCAGGCTCGCTTGACACTGGCTGCACACTTTGCTGCGGCATGTTTCACATGTCCAAGTTGGCATCGCAGTGACTTGATACCCCGTTTTGTGCGGGCGATCGCAGCCACAGCTCGTGCAGGGGGGGTAGTTACACTGTGCGCAAAGGCTATTTGGTCGGGCTTTCGCAGGCAGCGAAGCTTGACATTGACTGCAGACTTTGTTGGGGCACATTGGACACACCCAAAACGGCATATTTTTGGCGTGGTAGGCGCCCTTCTTTGGCCTGATCCCCTGTCCACAAATCGAACACGGAGGGTATGCACATTTTTTACACCAGGTGCCTGGCGTTGCAGTCTCGGACAAAGGTTGTGCACACTTGACACACGTCTTGGGTGCGCGTTCGGTCTTCGTTTTGCAACTGCGACACAAACCGGTGCGCGTTTCGGCCGTGTACTGGGTCAAGTGGGACACACTCACGGCTTTATTGCACTGGAGGCAAAGGCCTTGTTTCGCAGAGCCGGTGACTTTGACGGCGTTGGTGCATTTCTTGCAGCGTGCCCGCCGCATTTCCTTGGTCTGCCTCCTTCGGCGGATTTCTTCTGGGTCAAAGTCTGTGAGGCATCTGGTGTTCAATTTCTTCCCGACGTCGCATTTCGCGCAGGCCGGGTGTTCGTCTGCCTCACACTTGCTACAATATCCCGTCCTCTGAGCCGGACGAATGGCACAGAAGGCACAGACCTTAGCTGACGAAGGGACGTTTGCTGGCTCGGCTGGCTGATCTTGTTTCAGACACTGGGTACATACACGATCCATACCTTTCGCCAAGATCTGCAGCCATGCCTCGGGGTCCCACCCTGTGACGAACTCTCTTAGGGGTAATAACTTATCCGAACCGGCGGGCTGGGGACTACAGCGGCAACAGTAAAGCATGATGTCTGGATGTCGCTTTTTCTTGGGTGCGTCCTTGTCGAACCTGGCTTTCGCTTGTTCCAATGTAAGATTTTGCCTATGGAAGTCGAGTAATGTTTGCGGGCCTATGAGGTCACCGTTTGTAAACAGATTCGGCGAAAAAGGCTGGGCTATACAGAGATCGGAAATTTGCTTGACTCGAGATAGACACATGTAGCCACTTAATTGCGCCTCCCGGGAAGGGGTGGAATCCCACATGCCGAGGTCAAGCGTGCAAGCCGGCAAGGTCGAGCCCATAAACGAGTGGGCTGTGCCCGAAAAATCACAGGCAACTGGGAAGCCTCTGCGAGCAATTGTTGCTTTGCCGTGAGTTTCCAACTGCCATTGCTGCACGACAGGACGAAGGATTGCAACGCCTGGTGGAAGATCTCGGTGCTGTGTCCACGTCGCATCGGCAATTTGGACGTACAAGGCTACTGGTAAGTCTTGCAAGACTATATCGGGAGCCGGCGACTGAGCGATGCCCTGTCGATCCGTTGGATGCAAGGTCCAGTTCCACAAGGTGCCGCGGGTGTTCTTGAAGAGCCCGAATTGCTTCAAGTCCGGCAATGTCTGGGTGATCCGTACCGGCATGCCGCGAAGTAGTGGCAGCAGCCCCACTATGCCGCCAGTTGCTTGGTCGTGCCGCTGCAGCCAATTTTCCCGACGGGCCCGCTGCTCGAAGATGTCGTCGGTGTCCATGTGGAAGAGGGGTTGGTCCTGCGCGACCACCCACAGCAGCGTCTTGCCTTCCAAGGCAGCGACTCTCCGCGCGCGCAAGTTGGCGGCGATGTACTTGGCGGCGTTTAAGCCGTGCGCGAAGGGTTGATACAAAAATTTTTCGGCCTGCTGGTTCTTGCCTACAATGCGACGACGGTGGCGTTCTTGCTGGCACACCTGGCATTCCCGTCGACGACGGGTCTCCCACGGCTCTGGGCGCTGCTTTGCTGCGGCGGCTACTTCCCATTCGGTGGCTAAGGCTTGACAACTCGCACTCTTGCAGCCGACTGTTTTTAAAGCAACATCCCAGGAACCTGGATGTATGGTGGGATAACCATGTAGAAAGCACCAGACCTCGTGCGACATGTGTCCGTGCCGGGCTTGGTACAGCACGCTGCTGAGCCACGGATCTGAGCAACGTTGTTCTCGAGTTAATTCAAAGAGGCGATTGATGCCTGTTGGTCCTCGACTCCAGAAAAATTTTTGCAACGCACGGACTTGAACGCTTTCAGCTTGCACGAAGGGATTTTGAAAGAGAGCTGCGGCTTTCACAGGAGGGAATTGCCACATGTCTCCTGTCACCGCCAGGTTGACGCCCCCGAAGTGGCGTATCCGGCCATTCGGCGCCAGCTTCCAGGTCCCCTTATCGCGAGTGGCTTGCGATAATTTTTTCTCCAGCGTGCCTAGCACTTCGAGGCCGACGGTTGAACATTCATCGAGGATGACCCAGCGCAGCCGCTGGTACTGAACAAAGGCTTCGGGACCTCCGGTCTTGCTTGTCTCGCTGGACTTGCTCTTGACCCGTATGTTTGCAAACGAATGGAGGGTGATTCCATGTATTAAGGCTGCTTGGGTATTCTGGGGGGCTAAATACACGAACTCTTTTTGATGCTCCCAGCCACATACGTTTTCAAAGAAAGCGCGTAACCACTTTAGGGTTTGGCTCTTGCCGGCTCCTGGCACCCCATGGAACAAGCAACGCAAGGGTTCACTTCGTGTTTTTGGGTTCCGTTGTTCCTCTGTCTGCTCTACCATGCAACGGTCGATAACAGCTTGCAGAAAGTCAACTTGTTCCTGGGTCGGCTTGGAGTGTTCGGAATTGGTCTGCAACCCTTGCAGCCATGCGGCCGAACTGTCTGGAGTCAAGGCACCGTACGTCCAACGCACTGGATCGGGCTTCTTCGGGTCGGCTGCGCCCTGGGCTGCCGGCTCGGTCGGGGACGGTGACAACTCATCTAAGCTAGCCGGCACGGTCCAAGTCTGTCCCATAGAGTCACTGTCTGGCCGCCACTGTTCGAGGATATGTCGCACCGCCGGCCCGGACCGCTTCGAATATTCGAAGCCGACGCCTTGGGTCAATCTATCGACGGTCGCAGCGTCTACCCAGGTGGTGTCCACGGGTGCTCTCTCAGGTAGGCTGGCGGGGTCCAGCGGGTCGGCGTCCTCAGGGGAGCATTCCGCTGCCGCCAGAAAGTTTCGTATGGTGCGGGCAGCATGCTCCGAGACGACATGATGCCGAAGGTAGTCTTGCCATGCTGTACGATGGCTTCGGGAAGACACGGCGGTTTTGGATGTTAGCCGTTGGCGTGGGTTATTTGCGCGTGTTGCACTAACAGGAATGTCTAAACTAGCTATGTGGGGTACTTCCGCCGTGCGAATTACCCCATCCAGGGTCCAGGGGCGGAGATAGACATTAAGTAACCGGGCCTGGGCTTCTTTTGACATATCTGGTTTCGGCAACGGACACATGGTCGGGAATGGGATATGTGGTTCAATGCGTCGCTGTAGAAAATGGTCTTCGGCGACGTGGTGATTGACTGTCCTGGGGATGCGGACAATGGCTGCCTCGGCGGCGGCCGAGCAATTTTTCTTCCAGACAAAATCTCGACCAAATTTCCAGCCGTCTGATGGCTTTACGGCAGGTTGGCTTCCGGACACCCAGTCACTCAAGGCAAAACCTGTTGACGTGGCTGCTGTTGATGGTGGCTGTAATTTGCGCACGGTCCATAATTTAGTAAATTCCCACGGGGAAAGGTAAAACACGCGAGGGTCGGCTCCCCGCCATCCATATATTTCAGCATGCTTGAACTCTGCATTGCGACGGGCATGAGGTTGCTGTACTTTATGGCGCGACTCGAAAAAATTGTCCAACACATTCAACCAGTCGGCTCCAACAAAGGGCACTACAGGGAATGTCCGGATGCACTCGGCGCTGGTGGGATCGTCCAGATCGCCGAAGCCTGCTAACATAAACTCTTCCGTCGTTGGCCGGACTGAACACCTAAACTCTAAGTCGCCAAAGACTCTTTGGACGACTTTCCGATAGTGGCTGCTGCCAGGTGCATCTGTGGCCGTGGCGTTGAGGAAGTGCAACTGTTTGCTTGCTTGTTGCAATTCCTTTTTGCCCACGGGCTGGGGCTTCTGTAAGTAGCCGGTGAAGTATCTGGTGGAACGACGAGCAGCTTGGGACATAGCCCTCTGTAGTTTTGGCAGGGTTTCCTTGTCTAAACAATTGCGGTCACAGTCTGGGTCATGAGTCGTTCGACACAGCGGAATTCTAAAGTTCAAGGATGTATGCGAGTTACCAAAGCAGCATGCGGCTAACGCAGTGGCTGTGCCCGATAGCCAAGGGTCTTGCCTGAATCCAAGAAATTGGCCTAAGGCATTTTGGCGGCCACGCGTACTCTTGGCAAATTTGCGGGCGTTCCCTCTACAGATGACTCGAGCGACAGGATTAAGTTTTTTCGGAAAACCGTGCTTACACTTGTTTGGAGCGCCTTTCTTTTTACATCCTGCTAAGGGCAATCTGCATTTGTGCGTCGGATTCCACGGGTGCCAATGGCACTGCTGATGAGAAAATTTTCGTTGCACGATGTGCTCATATTTTTGGATGTATTCCGCGGCGGCGGGCAAGGAAAATTCAGATACAGCGGTGTTGATCCAAGGACTCGGTTCTGTGTCTGCGGCCACGAACTGTGGCCAGAGGGCTAACTTATCATGTTGGGGTTGGGAGTAGTTATCTTTCCAGTCGGCTTCGAGTTGTTCTTCTTCTTTTCTATGCTCTTCCCACAAGGGGTGGTGTTCCCGGTGTATCCAAGCTTGAAAGTTATAGATGTCGGCTGCTGTTATGGACTGGTTTTCAAGTTTTGCAAGTAGTTCGTGCAGCGGGCGCTGCCAAACACATGCTAGGTAAACGTTACAATGGTAATGGGGGGTCGAATTGACTTGATACTCAATTGCTCCGCAAATGGCGCGAACGAGGCCGAAGATGCCGCCGGTGGGATGGCAACTCTGACCGGCGGCATCTCTGCAGTCGCAATCCGGGCAGCGAAAACACATGCGCACCCCCAACAGTTTAGCGAAGACAAGTCGTATCACTGTCTGGAACGTTAGTACTACAGCCCAAGGATCTCTTGCCGTCAGTTCTCTTCTAAGGGCATGCGCCGGGAACCCTATAGTCAGGGTGCCTGTCTCCCAGACTGGTGGCTGGTCCTGCCCACTCCACGGCGTGCTTCCAGGGTCTTTCTGGCGGTAGCGAGACAGCCGCAACGTGAGCCCGTTGTGACGGGTGCTGGGCGACACCGTGATGAACAAGGGCTCGCCGAATTCCACGCGTGCGCCGAACAAGAAGCGACCGATCCGCCGTCGGACTTCAATGCTGCCTGGCATGGAGGTCTGCATGTTGCGGATGTCGTCCAACAACTGCTTCTCCGGCGCAGTGAGTCCTTTCGCAAAGTGCAACTTCCGTGCGTCGTAAGCGATTGGCCGCGCCAAGCCATCTGCACTGAGGTATGTCCCCGACTGCAGTTTGTTGTAAAGCCTTTGCGCCGCTTGTACCCACTCAGACTGTGGGACTGCTTCTAACTTGTGGCGGTTGTGTTGCCAGCGGCGCCACAAGGAGCCTCCCCAGACTGAGTGCCATTTGAAGGTAATCCGACGTAGGCCGGGGACTAAATCCCAAGAGTTTCGGATGGAGCTTTCCACGCGTCCGGCGAGGTGTTTCAAGTGGGTCAATGGATTGAAACGCGCTGCGCTCGGACCTCGTCGGGGCCGGGGTGCTTGCGGGAAGTCAGGGCCGCCGACGGGCGCCGGCAAGCTAAATGGGAAGGCCCAATGTAAAAAGTCGGTTCGCCATTGATCCCAGAAGGTGTGTCCTGTGTCAACCACGATGTTATCTGTGGCTTGAGCTACTCTGGCTACGAGGTCGATGTCAGGGTCTTGATATTGACGATTGGAATAATCTTGTGAACAAATGTTCGGGCGAGTATTTCCCTGGAAGGCTTCGCCGCTCAGGGATGCCCCTGTTCCTGTTTCTGGGGTTGCGTGCTTGGATGGACCTGTACTGATGCCGGATGTTGGAACAATAGGACTTAAATCTTCTGCGGCTGTCACGGATTCTACCATGGGTTCGGTTTCTTCTGTGCCGTATGCCGCGGTGACTCGGGCTACGACGGCTGCTTTAGCTGCTTCCTCTGATGGGGCGGCTTCGCACATCGGATGTTGAATATCAATCAGGTGGTGCAACAACTTGACAACGACCCAAGGTCGGATTTTGGCGCCTGCGACCCACTGAATAGTTTCGTTGTGGCGCATTCCCTTCACAGTGATTTTTAAAAGTGTTCGTAAGACCTCTGGCTCATGGGGTAACGATCCCCACGTCTTGTGTGCAGGATGTTTCGGATCCAAGGTGGCTAAGACTTCTTCCCATGGCAAGCTGAAAGAACTGACGTTGCCGCAGATGGCTGAGCGATGCTCTGCCCGATGAAGCGATTCTTCTAACAAGTGGCCACGGTCTGCTTCCAAGTAGTATGCAACAACTGAGGTCCAAACGGGACATGCAGCGGCAGCTTCGATCCAGCGAACTTTCTCGGTGTACAAGAGCTCCAGTGGATACCCGTACCAGTTATCATTGGCCAAGGCTTGTGGAATGCCGGGATGGTCGGTTTGCTGCATACGAACCAAACACGAACGGCAAAGCGGCAACTCACACTGCGGACAAAGGGGGTTGAATGCAGAGGACTGACTCCGAATACATTCTTTGCACCGAATGTCTTCCGGGCAACAGATAATGGATCGGCCGTCAAACAAGTCAGTCGGCAATGCCCTGGTCCACTCTCCCGTGCAAAAACGTTTGTTGACGGCCGGATGTTTTCCATATTTCAGCGTGTAGCTAATGTGCGACCAATTGTCGTCAAAACTTTCCTCCGAGATGTGTTGGAAAATGTGGTTCACCTTGACATATGCAATTTCCCCGCCCTCCCCCATGGCATGCACGCGTGCGCAACAAGCGCAAATCAACGCACCACAATCGGACTCTTGCCATCTGCTCTGCACACGCCGTAGCGTTCGGCGATCGATGCTCCAGCCTACGCACGGAACACTGCTGTCTTGTTGATGAAGTAAGGCCGCGACGTAGTGTTGTGGGATGGCGGCATGTGGCATGGTTGCGAAGTCTGCAGCGTGTGCCTGCGTCAAGTGTGCCCACAGACACTGTGCGGCATCGCCGCAGCAGTGGTCTCGAGCCTGCACCCATGCCGTGCCACAGATTCTCCAACTTTGATGTCGGCGCTTGCTCGGACGACAAGGTTCTTTGTCGGCACACCAATGACAGGCTTTGAAAGCACAGTGCACGGTCGGGTATGCAAGCCCAGTCCGCGGTTCACTTGCTTCGGGCTTCCAATGTTCCAACACATGCGGCAACAAGGGCTGGGCTTTGAATTTGGCGGCTAATGCGGCTACTACTGCGAAGGCTTCATCTTCTGGGGTGCACCAAGTTTTAGTTTGACTCACTTGTGGCTCATAGTCTGCGTCCTGCGACTCCATACTTGCACTCGAATCGAACGACAGCACACTGTTTGCATCCTCTTCAGCCACGTCCTCGTCGGAGCCTATGTTCTCTTCTGCTTCTGTTTCGAAAGGCTTCCACACCCCGTCGTCCTCTGCCACATTTGCTCGGTTGGTTTCGGGCTCCAAGTTGGAACCGGCCATCTCTACGTCTGTTGCTGCGGCATTGCTGGACCCCGGCTGCGAGGCCGCAGACGGATGCTGACTTGCTGGATTGGTGGCGTCGGCTCCCACTGTGGCCGAGACCGTCTCTGCCTCTGCTGCGAGGCCATTGCTAGGCTCCGAGGTTGCACCCGGATTGTTACTTGGTGAATTAACGAGATTACCTGGCTTCGGCATATGTGACGGTGGAAGTTCGTGCTGAGTCGTACTTGTTGGGTTACCTTCTACATCTTTGATAGGGTTCTGCATTGACGTTGGATCTTCACCGGTTGGCTGACTGGTGCTAGCCGGTTCACCTCTGTCGGAGTCTGCTGCGAGGCCATTGCTGGGCTCCGAGGTGGCACCCGGATTGGTACTTGTTGAATTAACGAGATTACCCGGCGTCGGCATATGTGATGATGGAAGTTCGTCTTGAGTATTACTTTTAGGGTTACCTTCTACATCTTTGGTAGGGTTCTGCTGCGACGTTTGATCTTGGCCGGTCGGCTGACCGGTGCTAGCTGGTTCACCTATGTCGGAGTCTGTCGTCTCTGATGGTTGCAGATCGTCCTGACTACTGTTGGTTGCTTCCGATGGGCTAGACCTCGGTTCCTCTGCGACGTTATCTTGGAACTTTGCCGCCGCAAGGGCTAGCACAGCGACTGGTCCCTGGCCTCGAAGGAGTTCCAGCCAAGGCGTGCACGGTAATTCGGGCCCCTGTCGTTCAGATCGTTGCAGGATATTGTAGTGGCCAGATACACCTCCTTCGCGGTGTGCGAGCTCGAGCAAGCGTGGATGCTGTCTCACTTTGGCTTGGGCCTCCTGATCGGTGAGGTGTTCGAGTGTTGCGACCCATATATTTGCATTGCAAGTCGTGCTCCAGATGAGGCACTGCAGGTCGAAGGCCTGAGTCAGGGCCCACAGCTCCACGCCGACGGACCCGTGATGGATAGAGTCCAAGGTCTTGCGGCGTTCGAGCACCGCAATGAGCTTGCTCCACAACGTTGCATCGGCTGGGTCAATGTGCTCTGCACTATTCAAGCCGGTGACACGAACGATGGTTTGCCGATGGAGTGCAAGTTCGTAGGCATCGAACGGAACACATGCTGCAGCGACCTCGTCCTTTCGAGGACCGTCTCTTTGCAGGACTAGCCATTCTAAGGCTTGCAAATAGATTCTGGCTGCATCGTCAAGCGACCAGTCACCCGAACCCCTGCAGTACCGACTCACAGCGTGGAAAAAACACCAGCCATCACCAGGCACCTGTGTTACCTCACTGCCACAACGGCGACGAAGTGCATCCCCTACTTTGCCTCTGACTCTGCGCCTCTGGTTGGCTACTGCTTCGAATGTCTGCCAGGAGCTACTCACAGCTCCTGCTGCTGCGGATGCAGGTGCCGCATCTTGTCCCTTGCTGGTTTGCTTTCTAGTTCCTTTGGGTCCGTTGCCATTCATAGCATGTATTTCCTTGTTCCGAGCCTTCCGATGACGGTGCCACTGGGAGCTGACCTTGTTCCATGTTCCTGGGACGGCTAAGCTGACAGTGCGAATGCAGAGACAACAGCTAGGCGACAACAGACAAAGGCACGTCGCAAACCGACTCCACCTACGGCATGTTCTGCTCTGCCATTGGCGTCCTTCGCCGCCGCTTCTCCTGCAGCTGCGGTGCACGTAGTTGACCGACATGATCTGCAACATCGTGCTGCACAGATGGTGTCCGAGCCAGAAGCTCACTGCAACTTTCCCTTGCTTTTGGCGGCATCTGCTTGGCAACCGTGCTCTGCCTGCTTTGCGGCCACGCCGAATCCAACCACGCTTGATGGTCCGTGTCTGCAACCCCTTCTGGGCTAGAAAGGCAAACACACAGGCAAAGAGATTGACACAGAAACTGATATCTACTCGTCTGCTACTGGCACACAGCATGGCAAAACTAAAACTTAAACACCATGTCAAGAATGGATACAGTCCCGGCAACACTCGTGTCCAGTGCGTGTGCATGTGAGCCTTCCGTGGCGGTGGCCGGTTCCTAGCAGCTGGCAACCGTGGGCGAAACGGTCCTGTCTTCCTCTGATGCGACTGGACGCAGATGAAAGCAACGAACCAGCAGCACACATTGACACCGAACAGCGTGTCCACTTCATCTGACGTGACAACCAAACACGTATACACTAGTCGGACAAGCCAACTGACCAGGAAGAAGCATCTTGTCAGATGGCGCTTTCCTACTTGACGCCTTTCTCGCATGGTTGCATCGCGCAGTGTCCCACCACTCCTTGAACGCGGCTTCGTAGTGCTGCTGGTGCTTCTCTGTCTGCCGGATCGGATGTGTAGCGCACTCAAGAGACTGACCACGCCACATCCATTGACACCGAACTTCACCTCCCAGTTTTCTGCCTGCAGACAATAGGCCAGCAATGCGAGTCGGATGCCAAACAGTGCCAGGTAGCGAAAACGCTGAAGATTCCATTCCCACGGCAGACACCTTTTTTGCATGAGTGCTCGGCACCTAGCTAGACGACTCCAGAGAGACAGGCCTCTGATCCTGTTTCGGTCTATTCCTTTCTCTGATACTTGTGTCTCAATTACAGAGGCTAGGCAAGCCGGTTTAACCCTTGGCGGACGTGGCTGTAGGCAACTGCAAGCCACAACCAGGCAGCAACAATTCAGGATATAGACGACATTGAAGTCTACTGCGGTTGCACACAGTCCGGCCGAGGCCAAGCAAACAACCCAACTAACTAGGGTGTACCAACTTGGACTCTTCCATTTCCATTGACCGCGCTCTTCCCTTGTTTGACTTCCACACTCTTACCTCTTCCTCCACCCAGTTGGGTCTTTGCCCGACATGGCGTCACGTCACCTCCAATCTACGCGGTCGCTGTACAGTCCCTATGGGTTTGCCTTGTCGTCTTGGCTGTGGGAGGCACTGACGAATCCGATTATAGCTTTGCTCGTCCTAGCTCCAACTATTCGAGGTGTCATCTCCAACAGATCTTTGCAGGTAATGTCTAAGATCCCCAGACACGGACATGTACCTACCCCTGTGCAAATTGTCTATCTGTCGTGTTCTGTTCAATGTGTTGCTTCGAGTTGACTCTCTTCGTAGTCGATTCGTTGCTGGAACCATCACGTGCACAGGCAAACAATGTCACCACTGGAATCCATGCAACCATGCCGCACACGCCTAAAACCATGGACACTGTTTCTGTTCCCACGTGCTTCTCCTTTCTCTAGTCAAACCCTGAACATGTTAGACATGGTGCAATCTACCAGCTAAACTTACCCTCCGTGACATTGCCATGTGACTTGGGCACACTTGGCGGAAGCAGACCTGTCACTGTAAACGTGCCAGCTGCACGGCCTGCGACCGAACTTCCCACACCACATAACAGATCGACTTCGACAGTCCCGGTCGACCAGCTCGGTTCACCTGTGCAGATTTCTCTGTCGAGATATGTCTTTATAGACGCAGCAGACATATATATATATACATATATCTATCTATATATCTATATATCTCATATCTCTCTCTATATATATATATAGATATATATATGTCTATACATTCCATTTGCAACCCCTAGCTGCCACAGACTCTGTCCAATTACTCGTAGAGACGCGCTCCAACCGATGGTAGCGATGCTCTGTAGCTTCCGTACCCCTAAATTGAAAGTACTTTCCTGTACCTCTGGATCTCCCCGGATTTATGCTGTCAAACTCGTATATATGCACATCCTATGGCCTTTCGGTCGCTCTATAGGGACAGTCTCGTCTAGCGACCTAAACAAATTCCTATCAAATCTGCCGTGCCGCCCTTCCTCACAGCTTTAGTTGGAAAGTTTTGGTCCACGTGCCACGTTCACCCCTGTACAGGTCTCGGTGTCTCGCCGCTGCGCGATGCGCTGGCAGACGACTTCCTGACAGCAGGTCATGACAAACAAGTTCCGGATAAACATGCCTGGCCGCCCTTCCTGACGGCTCCGGCTCCAGTTCGACAGTCCCAGTCAACATGCCAGAGTCACCCACATCTGTATACCGGTGTCGGTCCGCTGCGCGATGCGCTGGCAGGAAACGCCCTACCAGCACGTTCAAAAAAAGAACCAAACGTGCCAGCAAACATGCCGTGCTGCCATTCCTGCCAGGTCAAGTTGGGCAGTCTCGCTCAACATGCCAGGTTCACCGTTGTACCTGTGGCCGCTGCGCGATGCGCTGACAGGCGACTTCCTCACATCGGGTTCGCCTAAACAAATCCGGTCAAACATG